TACCTGAAGGAGTTGCACCCATCATATATGTGTTAGAATTAGCAAGAGTCAAACATCTCATTTTAATGATAGCTAGCTTATCAGTCAAAATTTTCTAGATCACCACTGTTGTTGAAGAAATAGAGAAAATAAATAACTCACCTACTGAGCTGATTATGTCACAACATGCCTCAACCAACCTTCCTTTGGTCATCGCGACTCCCTGGGCAGAAATGACTTTTGCGTGGGCCTTAGCTTTGGCCTTCTTTTAAACATTCTAAGCCATGAATACCACCACTCGCTTGACCTCTTTTGCTTTAGAGGTGGGCCATGAATTTGTTGCATTCAACCAAAAATTCCAAGAAATAGAACCGTATTTATAGTCACCAGATTGGTGTACTAAAAAAATGAGAAGAGTTGGACATCTATCTCTGGCCCCATAACCTAAGAATAATATGTTATCTTCTTCTTTTTGAAATCATCCCTAGTTGGCATGGTTCTAATGCCCCAGCTCTTAGAAGATGAGGCGATGAAAAACTTATACTTCCAATCCTTTACCTTATTCTCAAAGCTTGAGAAGTGAAACTGACTGACTTTCCCAAACTGCACATATTCATCATATGTATGAATAAATTGGTTGAAAATGAGATTCATTTCCACCTGTAGAAAACTACATAAGTCATTATCGCAACAAAAAAATTTGACTTGATCTATGCCGGGGTGACCCCATACCAATTGAAAATCACCTTAAGTTCCTGACACAATGGCAGTCATAGTCCATACCTCAGTTGATCTCTACAGATCACTAGATCATCTCCAAACCCATCAATCACCCTCTCATCCAGGTGAGTGGCTCTAAACCTAATGTTTGAATCAAAGACGAAGACCCTTTTATAAAAGCTACTTCCAGTGAAGATAAAATAGATTGCTCGGTCGTAGCTACCAGACTTAAAGTCTAGGGAGTTTGCTTCTATGACATAAAAAAATGAGCAAAATATCAAGCGAGAGTATAAGTCAAATGAAAGGAAAAAATCAAGTAGTAGAAACTCACAGAAAAAGACAACAAACATGCAAAACAATACCTCAACTTTATTCATAGGGAATTAGCGAAAGTGGAAACGTTGTGTGAGAATTTTGACATAAAATATCACATCAAAACAAAAATTGTGGTGAAAAGAAAATAAAATATTTTAATTCAATAATTATGTAATTACACTTGGATCATAATACGACAGTAAATAGTTTATAAACTGGTCCTTGACCGCTTTAGTTAGAACTAAACCTTGTCTAACTAACTTCCTATATAACATTTGACCGCCAAGCTTAAATTGGTTTGCTCGGTTGGCCTGAGTGAGTCCTCTACATAAAGGCACATTCTTAGAGTTTGGACACTTCTTGGTGAAGATCAACTGCTTCCCCTTGCATCTCCTCCAACACCTCACAGAGAACCTCCGCTCACTAAGCCCAAGAACCTTCAATCTGATCCAAATGATGGGTCAAGATTCTTGGGGACATCCGACATCCCTCAATCACTATCTCTTGGATCTCCACTGAATCAAACGGGCGCTTGAGCATGTTTTCTTCACCGCCGACTGGCGCTTGGAGCACAAGTGATACCTACAGAGATGGATTTCGTAGATCACTAAGAAGGGGAAAACCCTCGATCTAAATGTCCTAATCTACAAGAAATAAAAATTGATAAGCAAAAAGAAGAGAAAATCTAAGTAAAGACGAATAAAAAAAATAATACTCATAATCTGATGCACCTTAGACCATGTAGCTCTGCCTACAAAAAGTGATGAAAGGTCATTGATCACTTTTTTCTCTGAACATCTAATTGCCCACACCAATTACTGGTACACCAGTTTGTCGAGGGGCAGTCACAATCTATAATTGACTCAAAATCTTAATCGAGGCCTTCATTGACGGACCACTTGTCGAACCACCTAGCTCCTTTCTAGTGATGGGTAGGCCCTTCTGTGGAGTCTATCAAATCAGATCTGATGACTCCTTTATCTCCACATACTTAGTTGGCTTTGGCTTCTTAATAATCTTTTACTCCCACTTCTTCTTCCTCGACTCGCCTTCCAGTTGGCGTTGTTTCCTTACTCTAAGAGTTGCCAACATCTTTGTTGAATTAATAGGTTTAAGCATCGAATTTGACTCTTTCTCCATAGGATAACAGAGAAGCTGAGCATATGTAAACAGAGATGGACTTAAGATATTGAGATTCATCAATTATATAAAGGTCATGAATACGTAAATCAAGGGATTCTAATAATTGCATTAAATTATGACTATTATGATTTGATTTATTACATTAAATTTTCTTTCTTATGGTACCTATCACTCTCAAAGAGCAAGAAAATTGGGGAACTTAATTTGTGCACTAAAAAATGGTATGCATGAATATTGAGACAATCTAATGGTCTAAATCATAGATAAAAACTTATATGGCATCATGAAGTTGATTGCCTGAAGACCACTCAGTTGACCGACAGTTAGCAGACCAAAGGGATATCAACTGACAGTTAGCCAACCAAAGGGCTGCTGACCGACTAAAGGTGAGACGACCAAAGGGTGCCTGGCCGACCAGAAACAAGCAATCACACCAACGATAAAATAAATGTCTAGTACCCCAAACAATCTTAAAACACGAGGCTCTCTCAGCAACTCCCCCAAAGATTTCCAAAGTTCACTGGCTACCACACTCAAAGCTGACCGACTTTCCAGAGTGAAGGCTGACCAGAGTCAAAATAAGATAGCTGAACAACTTCCCAAAGTTAAGGCAGACCGATGTCCATATGAAAAGTGTCAAAAGAGTTATAAATAAGAAACAATACGCAAAAGACAAGAATATTTTGTAATGCCCTTATTAAAGTAGGGGTAAGTTTGTAATTTTATCTTGGACCCTCTATCTTTTATAAATAAGGGGTCCATATCAGATAAAAGGGGCTTTTTTTTCTCTAATTTGTCCTCTTTATACTCTTTTGTCAATAATCATTTTATAGGGAGATCTTTCTCCCCTTCTTTCTTATAATCTCGAGCTACAATATATAACATGAGTCACAAAGCCCAGGAATATCTTAGTTCTCCCCTACAAGGCAAGTCTATGTGTGCTCCTTTATTCTCTCTCTCTCTCTCTATATATCTCTCCCTCAAGATTTTTACATCTTTGAGCCTTAGACATGCCTCACAAGACAAATATGTTCAACACTTCCCATACCTGAAATATTGCTCATATGAGAAGCAATACAACACAACAAAAATGATAATCAAGACAAATAATATTATACACATAAGTTTTATAAACTAAAAAAAATATCTTCTAAAATGTTCACTGTAACTTTGTACCCCCGAGTGAAATAAGGGTATAGAATTTAGCTAAGCATGTCAAAGGGACTCTAACCAAAATCCCATTAATAAAAAAAACATTTGTAGATAAGTCACATAAAGACTATGTTTTAGGTGAAACAAGAAGTTAGAGAGGCAGTGATGTGAGGGCACATGTTGGTCGTTGGTGTCAGGTGTGAGTGGTGGAGACGTAGTGGAAAGCTTGTCCGACGCTTTGGCATTTTTTCGTTAGCACAATAATGCCAAGATCAAGAGGGATAGTACAAAGTCACACATATGCACTATGCAAACTAGGGCTTGTGCATAGGATTAGAGCGAGCAATGTCTCGAATTGAGATGAGAATAGGGTGAGCAAATGTGTGATTCGAAGTGAGTATCTGAGCACATGATTACAATGTAATTTTCTGGGTGGGCAATTCTCCCCACCCACATAATAACTTAAGTTCGCTTCTCAATAAGCATAATTTTAAATTTAAAAACTAACTGATATTTTTTTTCCGAAAAAAGAGAATATAATTTTATTTGCATAAATTTGTTACTATTAAATGGAACTTAAATAATAAAACTATTAATCAATAATTTATATAAAAAATACGTGATATTGTAATAAATATAAAAAAAAAAAATTAGTTATTTATATGCAAATGTTTCAGAAATACTTTTTAATCAACAAAATGAATACTCAAATTATTTAATGTTATTTGAATATTAAGTAAGATATTAATAAATTGCCGCAAGAATAATAAATTACGTATTTGTGCAAACATCTCATCTTATTCATATTGTTATAACATTTTATTTCCTTCATTAGATTTATTGGCTTCTACAAATACAATGTGATGTGATACATGGCCCACTTTAGCTTAGAATTTAATTTATTTTAAATTTTTAAGTATTACTTTATTTGTTATGTCTTTTACTTGCACATCTAGTATCTTGCTACTTAATTTATTTGCGAGCTCTTAATTGTTTTGCTGGTTAATATTCTTTTATAAGATAGCATTAAAATAATTTAAATAATTTAATTAATCAAAACTTTTTTAAAACCCCAATTCACTCCCATTTGGGGAGCCATCGTATTGACTCCATTTTGGGGAAATATCCGGGTACTTATGTAGCGCTGCGTATATCAGAAGATTATTCAGAGAGTATAAGGGGTTATATTCGCGTCATACCTCCCGCAACCTCCCTGTAACCTACCTTTAATCTACAAATAAGTTTCGCGCTTCTATAGTTCCGGTAGGTACAAATAAGTTGCAGGAAAGTTATAGAGGTATAATGCAGATATAAACCCCCTGTATCATCTGAATAACCTCCACGTGCTCCACATGCACAGGTGGACCCAATTTAGTGAAAAAATAATTAATATATCAGGCTTGCCTGTACACGTGGCTAATACTGATTGAGGTCTTGATGTAAAATTACACGTGGCTAATACTGATTGAGGTCTTGATGTAAAATTACACAAGGCACGTAATGCAAAATTTTTTGGGGAGGAATCATAATCGTGCATGTACAAATCACACATATAAGTCATCTTAATTTGTTGGTTGAGAAGTTTGCGGTTATATGTTGCTGATTAAATTTGCTCAAATTAAAAAAAAAAAAAAAGTGCGGATCATGTTATTTAGCTCATCAAATCTCACCCGTTCCCGTTAAAGTAAACACGAGATTTTCAGTTTTCTTAGCCTTCGATCTACTTGGGGTCCTGGTGCTGGGAAGCCGTTGAATGGCTATCAACCTTCCATGCGGTCAGGTAGAAACTCCTTTCAAATTGATTTCCTCCTATAAATCCGCTCCCAACCATCTGGCCATCACTTTTACTCTCTCAAATTACTTTTTCTTCTACCGCTTTCTCTTGTATTCTCCAACTGAAGAATGGCGTGGAAAGCTCCAACTCCGGCTTGGTTGGAGATGTATACCAGCTGCTCTCTCCCTATAGGTACAAAGAGTGCTTTCTGGCGTTCGTTTTCTTCTTTTCTTCACTCTGGCGACCAATCTGGCCTCTGACCTATGGTAGGTTCTACTAGGTTTGGGCTGCCTTCGCTCGGGAAGAAAATTAAGGGGCAGGGAACGGTGATGGGGAGCTTTACGGCCACGGAGCCTGCGGTGATGAAGTGGGAGGGTGTGGACGATAAGCTAGCCAAGATGGTTTCCAAGGCCAATCTTGATTTCGCTCCTGAGCGCCGCCGGGTTCGCGAGGCCTTTAAGGATGTCCAGCTCCAGATCGATCATCCACTTTTCAAGGTGTTTGGCTTAAACTTTTTTTTTTTTTCTCCTCGGGTGGGTTGCGCAGTTACCGCTGTTTTTTTTTTAGGAGAAAAAATGTTGGTCCAGAATGCTAATCAATCTCTGCAGCATTTAATTTGGGACTCCTTGCATTTTAAATTTAAATGATGGCCTTTTATGATGATTAAGAGAGTAAATGCTCTGCTTATAATATAGTTAGTTTTGAGACCATAACCGTTCTTATTTCTTGAATTTTCTTATCTTTATATGCATTACGATGAACGAATCTATGCAGGTTTTTTTTGTAGGCCTATGGCGTTGGTAAAACTCACTTGAAATAACCGTGAATTTGTTTTTTGGTTCCTGGTGTATCTTGCTGCTATTCAGTTCTTAGAAACAATTTAACATACGTTTGTGTACATTGATGAGAGACGAAGCGTTGATGATTGAGAAGAGATTCCTGTTAGCTCTTCCTGTCTAATCCTCTTAACATAGGTCGGTTATTGTGGGTCCTATTTGCTTGCCATGTGTGCTGATAAATTCACAGGAGAGCTTGTTACCAAAAGAAAAAAAAAATGTTTATGCATATTGAAAGTATTTGGTCCTTTTTTTAAAATGTTCTTTCACTTTAACACTGAATTTGGACGCCTGGCTGTTAAGTTTCCAGATAAAATGATGAGGATATCATATTTCCTCTTTACATATCTAAGAAATTTTCAATGATTGTGAGTTTCTTCTAGTTTTCTCCAGTAATTATGATGCTGAAATCTTACAAATTTAAATCCACTTTGATTGGTGGAACGCTTGTTTAGAAAACTTTTTGCATTATGGAGCATTCCAAAATTGACGAAAGTACCATAAAAAATAAGCCAAAATATCACGTTCTAAATCTCGCAACTTTAGATTTGAATTTGGGGCATTAGTTTCTAATGAAATTTTGCATCATTAAGCAATTGAGCATTCAATGTCATCATTATGGATAATAATTCAGCGTAGAGATGGTTCAGAATCACTTATCCAAAAGTTGAATTGTTTTTTTTTTCCTATGATGTTCTTTTTTCATTTATCTTTAATTATTTCGTAGTAGAAAATTCTCAACTTTGCAAAAATATTATGCTTAGCTTTGAATATTTTTCCAATAGACACAATTAAAAATGTAAAAGACAACTATATTTTTAATTTGGAAATACTTTAAAAAGGAAAAAAATTTATGAGGTCTGTCAAAATAAACTAGAAATTTGAAATTACTGAGGTTCACTCTTCTCTTGAATTTGTGAAGATGAATCACTTTCGGTGTCCTTATACTTGTATTGTAAAGATGATCAGTTTAAATATAAATTTGTTAAAATTAGGGCCCAATGGTCTTGAATTTAAATTTGAAATGTTTCTTTCTAAAAATACATTAAGATTTGTGCATGATGATAAAAATTCTTGATGTCACAATACTCATGTATCTTTTAAACTACTTTTTCCTTAGTATGATAACATGAATAGGGTCAAGATGGTTTAACTTGAAGGATTAATATTGCTAAAACTTGACTATTATTTTGGTCCAATGCGATCATCAACCTAATTTTTTTGGTCTAGTTCAAATGGAGTTGAACATATATATATATATATATTGAAAGCCCAAGGACTGATTTTATTGAAATAGTGAAGATACATGAAGATTGTATGAGAAGGCTCAATAGAGACACCATACCCATATGATACCAAGTACAGTAATATCCAACTAAAAGATACGGATAGACTCAAAAAATTAAAGTTTACAGAAAACAATTAGGTAGGGACGAGCCAGCTTAGTCCTATCTCTTCCTCTAGTTTTAGGAACAGAGTCAGATAACAAACTTTGAAGTGTCGTGTCATTGCCTGGAGTAACCAAAGTATCATCCATTAAATTTTCAAGTTGGAGTGTGCCCCCAACCTTTTTCTTCCGTCTAGAAGTGTAAACCTGCCATTATTTATCAGAAGTCTGACTCATGTGATCCTCGGTCTGATTAGATTTTAGAACCGCAGTAGAAGGAAAATCATTCGTTGCTACAGTGATATGTTCCAGTGTATGTGAAGTGTGAATTGTCACATTTGCACCTGATGCTTCCTGAATCGGAGTTGCGGGGCTATCCTGATTTTCTGTCTAAACATTATCAGTTGTAGTATGGTCGGGAGAAGGGTTCCTAGGGGCAGACACCAAATCCTATATTGTGGTGATTCTCTCCTCAGGTTGGCTGTCATCAGGTTTGTTGAGGCTATCGGGAGAATGATTATATATATATAATATGTATATATCTATATAATATAATATGTATCTATATATATATGTATATAATATGTGTATATATGTATCTATGTATATAATATGTGTATATATGTATCTATGTATATACATACATATATGCATACATACATACATATATATATATATACAGATATATGTATATATACATACATATGCATACATACATATATGCATACATACATATGTATATATATAAATTCACTGTAGCTACAGTGAATTTAGGGTAGCAACATTAATTTCACTGTTTTTATCTTTTTTTTTATTTTGATGTGTAAGCATAAGAATTTTGTTATTAAGAACAATTAGTTTATTTTTTTATCTCTTAATATTTATATTTCTTTTTTTTAATATTGTGGGGCTTATGCTTGATGGCTTGAGGCTTACGCCATGCCTCGTAATTGTAAAAGCACCCTGCCAACGCCCATGCATTTTAAAACATTTACCACTATTGGTGTAGTTACACTAACAATGGCGTACATATGCCAGAGATTGGTGTAGCTATGCCAGTCTTGATTTTGGGGCATCCAAATGCTACCTCTTTTAAGCCCTTTAACCTACAAATAACATAAAAACACATTGAAAACATAAATACGATGCAAATAATAGAAATACTACAAGAAAATAGTGAAAAATATATCACAAATTTAACACACATCAAATTCATTAAACAATTTAAACTTATGCATTACTTGTCGTCAAATAATTTTCAAAATCTCATATCAAAATTTAATAGAATTTGGGAAAAATTTCAGATGAAAAATTTTAGTGATTTTTTAATAATCCAGTACTCATTTAAATCAAAGTGCTCAAGTTTCTTCTTTAAATAAAAGTTTCATAGCAACACTCTAATAATCTGATTTAACTCACATTAATACTAAATCAATTTATCTCAATTTAGTTATGTCGGTTTAGAATTTCATGAAATTAATACTTTACACAAAATTTAGTTAGATTTGCAGTTAAATAATATTAATTCTATTATTATCATGTTATTACAAAATATCAAGGTTAAATTAATGAAGCTCTTAATCATTTAACTTATTAGAAAGATTTATTAGTACCAATTTTCTGTATGAGCTTAGCCTCAAACTTCTTCTAGTTTCAAAAAATTCTTTCCTTTTTAACCATGAACCATTTTTTATTGTTATTTTGATTTTATATTTCTTTTTCTTTTCACGGAGGATTACTAATTCTAGTTAAGATTATTCTTTTTTTAATGATTTTAAATATTGATTCCATCCTAAGTTAAATTTTCAATTACTTTCTAACTTTTCCTGAAAAAAATTTATATCCACCTTTTTAACTAATAATTAAATAATTTAAGTGAGTAGTAACTACATTTTATAGAGTTGAGATGTTAATTTTATAAGTATTCATTGCTCACTTAAGAATTTATAAAAAATTATATAGATTAGTATTTTTAAAATTAGAGATCAAGTGCTAGTGATTTCTTAATTCTATTCACACCATTTGAGATTTTTTTATAACTAAAATTTAAGCTCTTCACTTATTATTAAAATTCACCTCTACTTTTATCTATTTCCACCCCACGGTTTATATAAATTCTAAAGTTAGATCTTTATTTTAACTTAAAGGGCAATTTAAACATATTTTCTCCCACTCCAAACTAAATTTTGATACTATCAAAGCAAATACAATATAAGAGAGAGATGAGCATAATAAGTAGCATATGCTATAAAATAAAAGGAAATTATACTACAGAGTACAATAAATAATACCTGTCAATACGTAAACATCAACGAATATAAATAGGTAGGTACAAGTTCAAGATCTAATTTATAAGCTAGTCAAATATCAAGTTCTAAGACTATGTGAGAGGTAGGTAGCTCTAGAGATCCTAACAAGCAAAGTCATACTCAAGCATACTCTACAGCAAACTAAGAGAAATTAGGTTGCCTCCTAATAAACACTTAATTTAATGTCCTCAGCTTGATCCAATCACAAACATGCATCTAAAGACAGAGCACAACATGCAATCTCACAACAAGATAACTTTTAGGTTGTCTCCCAATTAACGCTTAGTTTTATGACTTCAGTAAGATAAAGTCAAATCAAACCTTAAAATTTTTCTCCAAGATCATAATCTAATTTAATAATCCTTGATTAATCATGTAATGTTTGAAATGCCTTAGAGACTCTCCTAAAGAATTCTGTTGTGATCCCATAATTCTCTTTTTAAAATATTAATTTTTTTTTATTTCTCATTTAAAATCTCTTTCAGTCCTTCTATTTTTAATCTCAAAGATTAATTAGAGATACATGTATGAGGTGGTATAAGATCATGTATCTGAAAAGACATTTTTTCATTTTGCTCTATAATAATTAACTCCCTTTTTTGCAAATTAATGTTTGTGCTACGAGTTATAAGAAAAGATCAGCTGAAAATAATTAGGATCTTCACATCTTTCTCCATATGCAACACAATAAAATCAACCAAGAAAATTAATTTTTCGATTCTCAATAGGACATTTTCAATAATATCCATTAAAAAAGTTAAAAAATGGTCAGCTAATTGTAGGGTCACATTGGTGGGTTGAAACTCTTATAGTCCTAATCTTTTAAACACTAAAAAATACATTAGATTTATGTGATATCCTGAGTCACATAATGCCTTTCTAATAAATCAGTCCCCTAATTCAAGGAATGATAAAAATACTTGGATCTTCAATTTTTGTGGGAGTTTTCTTTAAATTATAGCATTACAATTTTCCGTTGACGTCGCAGTTTCATAATTCAAAAATTTTCTTTTCTTGTTAAAAAACTTCATAAATTTCTTCTAACTATGCATTTGTTCAGTTGCTTCAGCGAATAGAATGTTAATAACGAGCTTCTTAAATATTTCTAAATATTTAGAGAATTGATGGTCTAAATTTTGTTTAATTAACCTCTAAGAAAAATGTGGTGTTGGTCTCTCCTATTCTATTCAAGATGATGAAGGTCTTTTTGCTAAGTTTGAGGTAATTTTTTCTACAAGTCTATCTGGCTCAAACTCAAACTCCTCTATTTTAGGCATTTCTACTCTAGTCCCATACTTTAAGTTTTATGGCATTGCATTGCTTCACATTTTTCTCCTTTGGATTCAGCTCTGCATTGTTAGGTAACGTCTATTGTGGTCTCTACTAAATGATTTAGCTATTTACCCAAGTTATTTTTCGATCTTCCTAATAGCTGCTGCATGACTTTATATTTGATTCCCTATAATCAATATTACTTCTTCCAAAGATAGTTTCTTTTTCCTAGATTGCGGACTAGAAGTGAATCCAAGAGGGTAGGTAACTCATGGGTTGCCACTACCTTGTTTATTCCAATTACCTATAGAATTGGTTGGTTATTACCCCATTTTTAGTTTCCCACCCTTGGGTTATTATTATTCCAATTAAAATTTTGATGATTTTTTCAATCTGGGTTCTTGGTGTTAGAATAAAGCTATTAAACCTATATCCTATGACGTTCAAGGTTTCTAAAGAATTAGTACAATAATTTTCTATTGGTTCGTAGGCTATTCTATTGCTAGATAGTGATTATTACTCTGGATTAATGCTTAGATTATCTAATTTCATAGAAATAGTAATCACTTTTTAGGGGATTGTTAGCATGTTTATATCATGCATATTAGCTACTTTTTTCAAGATTGATTCTGTCTGAAGATTATTGAAAATTATTAATAGTCATCTCCTCTATCAATAAATAAACTTCCTAAAATTGATTTTGACATAAGTGACCCCTATGCTGCAACATCTATTATTAACCTCAACGAACTCAACGAACTCACTAACTCGTTATAAGTGGTCTACATTATAAGCCAATATGGTAGGACATGGTTGAGACATTTAAGTAGTTCCTTAGATCTCTCTTAAGCTTCATAGATTGATTATCCATCTAATTGGATAAATAAGGTGATATCATTTATAAGTTTTGTTATTTTGGATGAAGGAAAATATTCGGTAAAGAATTTTTGGGCTAAATTGTTCCAAGTCATAATTGATCCAAAAGCTAAAGAGTTGAACCACATTTTTTTCTTATCCCTAAGTGTGAAAGGAAAAAAATGTTATTCTAATGACGTGATTGGAAACATCATTATATCTAAAATCTAGCACAATATTCTAAGAAACCGACTAAGTGGCTTCTGTGAGTGAGCCCTCAAGTTGATTATTTTGTACCATCTTGATGATAGTTGATTTATGTTCAAATGAGAAAGCTTCTACGTTAGGTTTATTAATATTTAAATGGATTTTTTCTACCAAAGGATTGACATACTCTCTAAGAGATTTGAGGTGTTCTTCCCGGGGTTGGTTTGCCGTTTCTCATAAATTCTTAAGTTTTTCATGTAGTTTTTACTTCTTAGACGGTTCTCTCTAACTAAGGGTCGTAAGACATAAGTTCAACTAGTCCATTCCTACACATACAAGCATAGAACTAGCAAGAAACAACAAAACACAAGCAAAATTCACAGAAAATAAAATAAAGCAGGAGTATATGCAAAAAGTAAAAACAAGAATAATAAAGAACATTTTTTTTTTGATATTCCATCAGAAAAAATAACAAATATGCTACAGAAAAATATGACAAAATAGTTTTCAAATCTAAACCCTAACGGGTCATCTAAAATCTTTCTAAAATTGGAAGATCAATATTGTTCTCCGACAATGGTGTAAATAACTTGATACATTCAAAATGTTATGAAACACTAGTGATACATGCAAATATATGTGCCTACGAGGTAGTATATGAAATCAAATCCGTATATCGATCCCACGAGGAATGAGTAAACTCCCAAATTCCATAAAAATTAGAGTCTATTGGTTTTGAGTCTAGTATGAATGTTTGAAATTTGGTGGTTTTTAAAATTTATAATCTTAAAAATTAAAACTTCTAATTAGTTTTGAGTTTTAACAAGTAATAATTTTCTTTTCTTGAATTGGTCAATTTTAAACCAAATCTAAGTGACTCCAATGAAGTTGACAATCAGGAATAACAATTTTACTTAGCCTTTCTCAGTGGTCATAAGAAAATTAGGGTTTCATATTACAGTTACTCCTTTAATCATGAAAAAAACTTAGTGTTTGTAAATTTCCTTACACAATTGCACCATTCCGACATTAATATTCCCATTTTCTTAGAGTAGTATAAGCTAACCTAATTGTTCTACTTGCCTACTCCCGTAGTATAATGTCACATCCCGTGATCAGTTTAGGTGTAAATGACATGCAAAATGTTAAATTGTCAACTTAAATTGAAATTACATACAATCACATAACAAAAATGATACTAATTTGGATATAATCCAATTCAAGAGAGGAAAGTTTAAGTTCTACTCATTACAGATTAAAATGACATAAATTTCATTGTAAAATCGAAAGCAAACATTAGAATGATCTTATCGATATTCTTCACCGAATTACACGAAGTTGCAATAGTATCTGAAATTACACCTACTTTGAGTACAATAATTGCACACACACACTTATTCTCTCTTGGGAGAACTCACATTCTTTCAAGGATCTCTTCGGTGAAGCGTGATTGAAGGCTACGATAATTCTCCCTTGTCTCCTTCTAGCATCTATCTTCTTCCGCTCGGTGTCACTCCAAGGGTCGAGCGTTGAAAAATTGTGGAGGAAAAAGAAGCCTTCTTTTTTGAATACCCTTCTATAGCCACGGTTCGTCACGCAATCTCGCCACGTCAACTCGAACCTTCATAACTCTCAAAGTCTGTTCGCCTGCGTTGGGCTCTTCATTGAAGCGCTGAAGTTTCTCGTTTGTTCTATATTGCTATTATTCCTTAAGTGACACTTATATACCACAAAAACTGATGTCTACATTCCAGTTTGGCACCTTGGTGCCTGCTTCTCTGTTTGAGGTTTGGGGGAGGAGACGTAGCCATGGTGTACTTACATCTCTATTGGCGTAGTTATGCCAAGAGTGGCGTACATACTGTCATAAAATGGTGTAGCTATGCCAGTCTTAATTTTGGGGCGTCCAGTTGTTACCGAGCTTCTTTTATGCTCTGTAGCCTACAATAATATATAAACTCCTAGCAAAACATTAATATGATACAAATACTATAAATACTATAGGAAAACATAGGAAAATATTCACAAATTTGACACATATCACCATGATGAAGGCTTGCAAGCTTAACAAAGCTGGTTGATAACTTGTCTATGAAGGACTGATATCATTGTCTTCTTTAATTTTAGTAATATTTTATTTTTTAGGTTATTACAACAAGCTGATTTAAGGCTAAAATTTTATGCAATTTTATAGCTTTTCAATTTGTATAAATAATATATGTGCACATTAGGGCATGGGTACACATGCATGAAAATGATTCATGTTAGAAATTGATTTTGTGCTGTCTAGAGTTTGACTTAGGTATGCTCGAGCCACGAGCCATTTTAAGCCAAGTCAACCCGAAGGAAATTGAATTGATTTCAGCAATGAGTTGATTTCAAGCCAACCAGTGTTTGATATAGCTATTTTATTGATTTTTCTCTTTGATCTTTGCTTTCTTTTTTCTTCTTTGTTGTAGTTGTCTCATTGTGGGAACACAGAAATTCTCACAGTTTTCTTTTTTGTTTGTTAAGTAACCTGATTAATTCTATTTTAAATTTTTTAATTCACAGATGCATTATTCTGGAGTTCAAACAAAGGAGGTAAAGGCTTTCATGTTTGTTGACGGTTCGTTTTTTATTAAACTTGTTTGTTTAACTTTCTAATGTTCGTATTCTTCTTCTATCTGTCAAAATTTTACTGGTCACTGAACGCTGTAACTTTTCTTGAGCTAAAATTAAATTAAGAATTTTGATAAAATGAAGCAAAAAAGAATCTATCCTTTTAAGATGCTTCCTCAACAGATCAAATTAGTCATAAAAAAGGTAATAATATGAACGAATTCTAAATGATGTTACTGCATGGATTGAAAGTATAAATTCACATATATCCATATGAGTAAAACTATTGTACTACTGCAAAATTCATTTGAAAATTATTATGCTACAAATATTTCTTAAGGGCTTGATTATGAGGCATCAAGTAATTATATGAAAAAAAGTCAGCTGGTTTATGTTTTTTTAATGCATTCTTCATGTACTTTATTTAATTCATTGTGATATTAATGTAAATTATCCTTTATTATTTTTTATATATTAGCCTTTATTTAATTCCAAATGATTTCCATGTTATAATCTGCATTATATTGATCCTAAAATAGCAAATCTTATTATGGTGTAACTTTATATACTAAGAACAAGTGAATGAAAGCATTTGGCAAAGTTCGACTGTTTTGTGGTAAAAATTCTCTATTTGGCTCTTTCAATCATGCCATCCTAAATGCTGCCAAGTCCAGCCAATCATTTAATATTATCCAGGTTTATATTCTTAGAAAAAATAAAAATAAACAAGAAGTTTATCTGGGGAGCTTATCAGTTATTTTCTCATGAAATTGTTTGAAGCATGTGATATCGATGCTCTTTTATTGCGCTTAAGGATGTACACCAAGTATATATAGCACAAATGTCAAACATAAAAAAACATTCACAAAGAAATAAATTAACTGTCGATTGCACTTCACAAAACCTTTATTCACCAGAGGAAAAGCTTCATATTATTTGCTTTTCTTGAAAATAATAATAATTCAATGAATATCAGTCTCTACGTCTGTTTTAAACGTTCCATTCTCTCTCTGTCAACACATTTCATGCCTTATTTTCTTTCTACACAAGTGCCAAATCATTAAAGCCATGGCAAATTTATGAAGTTTTTGTGTTCTTTGAAACATTCCATTTTTGTCGAGTTGATTTAAACAAAGATTTATAATAAAAAATGTTTAGCGACAAAAAATGCAGTTAATTAGTCTGAAATATCTTCGTAAAACAACTGAGTTTATATATTTTTTGAGAACCTTGTTAAAGTTAGCATTCATTAATTTTGGCACCGAAGTAGCCAGACAAATTTTCTTCATTTGCAAACAGAAGCTTAAAAGTCATTGTTAATTTTAAGAAAAATGGAATGTTGTCTGAAAATTGATTAACTCTGCATGAGAAATTTTAATATCCATCACTAAAGACTGCTCATAACACTAAATGCTAAGTAAGTACCACACAAAATAAACCATTGTAATTGTAAGGACTTGGTCAAGTTCTCTTGTAGAGACGCTTAAATCAGTTTTTATTTCGTGAAACTTTGTGGGGTATGCATCTCATAATATAATTATTTTCAGTAACATGACATCTGGTGGACACCTTTGGCACTACTCTGAAGAAGCTAAGATTTCAACCTTCTTATAAATTTTATAACTTAGAAAAGTTATTGGAATAGAAAAAAATCACAAATTTTATTTGAAAGAAAGAAAAACATGCTACTAGGTCCCTTGTCGTTAGTAAAGGAGAAGAGAGAACTCTTCATCTAAAGGAAGTAAGGCGAAACAATTTCAAGGATAAAAATATTAAATTAAAAAAAGATACACACGATTGGATTAAGAGCTAGTTTTAATTTATCACTGATTTAAAGTAAAATTGCATGGTCCTGACTCAGGTGCAAAAAACCAAACCAATCACTTAATACAATGGTAATTAACTCCAAATGCAAGAAACGTAGCCAATCTTCTAATACAGGTATACAGTTGATTTTTCAAATAATTTGATAATCACATTTCAAATTTGTTTCTCAGTTTTTTATTAATAATGTAAAATAGTTAGAGATTTCTGTTTTTCTTTTGCTTTAATGGTTCAGATTATATGTTAACCAAGTACGTAGGATTTGAGAGGACAAAGCTCAAACAGATGTAATAGTAATATAGAGAGCTGAGTGAACTGATTCTAGCCAATTAATTTCTTGTATTGGTTATGTTCTGATTTAGCTTCACTATACAGTCAATTGAGATAAATTCAAAAGGTTTTGAGATCTTCTCCAAAAGTTGGTTTCCCAGAAACTCTCCTGTAAAGGCTTTGGTATGCTTTTGTCATGGCTATGGTGACACTTGTACATTTTTCTTTGAAGGTGAGTTAAAAAGAAGATAGTTAAATTTATATCACATCGCCAATAAACTGGAGATTATTGCAGAATTCATGCTTTTGCCAAATTTAAACTATATGCATGATTTTTATAAAGGATTTTAGATTTCATGTTTTAGCTGAATGCAAACTATATGCATGGTTTTTATAGGAATTGCTAAGAAGCTTGCGACTTCTGGCTATGGTGTTTTCGCATTAGATTACCCTGGTTATGGGCTTTCTGATGGACTTCATGGTTACATACCTAGCTTTGACAGTCTTGTGGATGATGTGGCTGAGCATTTTTCGAAAGTCAGAGGTATGTTGCGGCCTCATGCTATAATTAGGAATTCATGTTATTAATAAAAAAATTTATTTTTGCCATGCCATATATTTTCTTTGGAAATTTTATAGAGACACTCAATTGTTTGAATTCTCTAGAAATCTAGAAATCTACTCTAAGGAATTCCTCTGATCTCAGTGAACAAAGATTAGTTTTTCTTTCCTCTTCTTCCACAACGCATAGGCTTCATCTACCTACCATTTCATTTAACTAGTTTTTTAATTGGTAACCATTGTCCAAACGACTCAAGAAACACAAGCGTGTTGTTCTTTAGCTTCACTCGTATAATTCATCTGTTTGTTATACATTGAAAGTTTACTAGCCTTACTATTTCTTATAATTTCACATTTGATCGTCATGCAATCAAAACAGTATTAGTTTTATTTCTAAGCTAACATATCTTGCAATAAGCACCCTTCATTATTAAAAAAAACCTGGCACTTCATCAGGAATTGTACAGCCCTAATCTATATTTTCATAAAAACATAAAAATGTCAAAACTTTTTATTAAAATAAACCTTTAAATCATTTGCTTGATGATTGAATGAGGGTGGAATTTAAAGATTTCTTTTCATTAATTTTTTTGGTCATACATCTGGTTAATTGTCTTATTATCATAATCTCTTAACCAATTCAAATAGCTTGTTGTGATTAGACAAAATGAGTCAATAGCGTTTCCTTATTAGTTGGTTTGGGTCTAGTGGTGCGGAAGCATTTTTTCCAGATGCTAGACGCACTAGCATTGGAGGGGAGCTAGCAATTGATGTGGGAACGCATGTCTGTTGCTTGCTTGCGGCCCAACATGGACCGATGTGGTCTAGAATTTATTAGACACAATCAAATCTTCCTATGGGAGCCACGTCTTTCAAATAGAAGGACCCACTGCTATTCCTATTTATCCTATTATTATATAATTGTGTTTTAGAAAGTCTAACCCACTCCTATTTATCCTATTATTATATTTTTGTGTTTCCGAGAGCCTAGGGTTAGTTTTTGTCAAGTTTTTATTCAGGTCTGTCGTCGACGTCTTGGTTTAACCCTTCTAGGGTTGTATCCAGAGGCGAGTGGTGCTCCAACTGTAGTTCGTATGAGGCGGTGATCTTCTTCCTTGAGTTGTGCTTTGACTGTAGCTTTTTCTCGAGGGTGTATTTATCCCGGCTCCCCATCCTCTGCAACCATCTGCTTGCTGTCGTCGCCGCCTTCCTCGCTGCCAGAACCACGAGACAGCATCCATGCCATCTTTCTGCAAATCTAGCCGCCAACGACCATCTCCTCCACCTGTTTCCATCTCACTCGACCATTTCCCATCACGTTGCCACTCATTCGAGCCGACTGTCTTTGATGTCCAACCATCCCCCCTCGCTGCCATAATCCCGGGTCAACCCTCCCTTTGCTATCCCGCAGTCCCAGACATTCCCCCCCCGCTGCCATTATTATTCCTGCTCGCTGTAGCCACCCTGAACAACTGTTCCAGCCTTGCTTATTATCTTTCAGTTGACGAACCTCCACCTTTCCCCATCGTAGCCCACTGTAACTTCCACTTCCACCTTCTATAGCCATCTATCACCTTACCAAATCAACTACACCATTGGATTCATTTAGCTGTATTTGCTTGTATTTATTGTTGTATTTCCATTTCAAGTGTGTGTGATTAAAATCGCATTCTTTGCTTTCAATAATAATGTTTTTTTTATTATTGTTGGGTTAACTTCAGTATTACCCAGGCCTCTCATTCTGTTTGTGTAAATAAAAAATGGTCCCCAATTATTAGTATGTGGCCAATTTTGTTTTGGAGTACTAAATTTTTTCAATTTAGTCTCTCAACTATACAAAATTTATCCAAATCAATTTTGCATTACAATTTATATGTGAGGGATTATAATTTTAATGACCAAATTTGTATATGATCAATTGGTCTTTATGAGTACTATAGAAATTTTAAAATTAGCTGTTATTGTTGGATTCCTAATTATATAGTAGATGATCAATTGGTCTTTATGAGTATTTTAAAATTCCTTCGTAAAAAATCAAATAAATAGGAAAAATAATTTTTTTTATCTATTTTGTACGACACCCACCTACATGAAATAAAAAACTTTGTTAGTTTTTCTAAATGAATTTATCAAAATATTCTCTAACGATGTAACTACATTGACTCAAATTTGGTGAGGTCCTAAGGATTACCCCAAAGAACCTTAAAATGAAAAAAAATTTAATAGATACATAATTTTATCAGAAGGTTGTCCTTCAAGTAAAACATTCATATTTCTGCGGCGTCGTCTCGCCGCGGTTCTTTTGCGCGGCTTTTCTCGAACTGAGGTTTCAACTCTACCGAGCTCATCTGCGGTTCCTGTCTGCGGTTTACTGTCTTCTCAAGTTATAAGGAAAATTGTGATGGTACAGGTGACTGTCCATTTATTAAGAATGCAAGCAGAAAAAGTGGGTAGACAACTCTCGTTTTTTCTGAGCCAGAAATTTTAACCCTGTTTGACAAATTCAAGTTTGCTCTCATTGAAAAATTTCAGTGGGGACACCCACCTATGGAGGTTATCAGGAAAAGTTTTGATTACCTCAAATTAGCAGGAAAGTGGAAAGTGGGGCTCATGGATGGAAGACATGTTTTGATTCAGTTAACCGTGCCTGAAGACTACACTCAAATTTTCTCCAAAAAATATCTTAACATTGCTGATAAACCTATGAAGCTACTAAAGTGGTCTTAGGATTTTGACCCAAATCATGAAACTCTTACTGTACCGGTATGGTTTAGTTTACCTGGTCTCAAGCTGCATTTTTTTCACTATCAGGTTCTCTACTCTATTGGGGCCATCTTTGGGGATCTTTTGAAGCTATATTTGCTTGCTATCAACCCAACCAGACCCTCGGTGGCCAGAATACTTGTGAAAAATGATATTACTTTACCTGATGTTACTGAAGTCTGGCTGGGCACAACCCATAATGGTTTTCGGCAACAAATCGTCATGGAGCACAAACCCCAATATTGTACCCACTGTAAGATGTTTGGTCATGTCTTTGATAAATGCGACAAACTTCATCCAAATTTGAAATCTAAGGTTCAAGTGAAAACCCCACTGCTCTGGACATTCTTATTCCACCTGAGGAGGATACTACCAGACAGGAGATTCCTGTTGCTGCTGAGGAATCTCTCATGACACTGCTATTGCTGTTACTGGGAGTGATGTGATACTGGCACCTTAAAACCCCATAGAGAACAATACTGATGGACTATTACCTACAAATGATAATGTTCATACTGATAATCAGGAGAGCCTCGTAGCTCCTTTTCTTCAGAAAGTATCCAGTGTAGAGGCAACTCATACTTCACATATACTAGAACCTATTGTGGGTACTACGGTTGGTAATCATTCTGCTTTAACTGCTTTAATAATCATTCTGCTTTAACTCTACCACCCCATCAGACTGATTCTTCGGAAGAGGAATGACAGGTTATTCCAGGAGGAAAAAGAAGAATGGAGGCTGAATATATTGGTTACTACTGACAATGATAATCATCTTACCAGTTTATTAGCTTGCTCCTATTCTAGAACTAGAGACAGAGACAAAATCAAATTGGGTCGCTCTCTAGCCACCTGATACTATGTATTTCGACACTGTTAGACTTTTTATTTATCTAATGCATTTTTCTATTTTTTCTAGTTTTGGAACCATCTGTGGTTTTTGGGTGGGCAGGGTGCCATACTTGGGCCCTCCCACACATTGTATCTGTATCTTTCTTTCTATTTAATATATTAGACTTTTTGGGCTTTCAAATATATATATATATATGATGTTTCTATAAGATTCTTCTTAGTCCTTATCATGAAAAAAAATTTAACTGTTCAAAATTTTATTGAAGTTCCGTCATTCAAATAAAACATTCAAACTTTTTATTTTGGAATGAGATATATTATTAAACTTGTTATCCCATGATGTTTCTATAAGATTCTATTTTCCTATTCGTTAGTAATCATTTAAGGCTTAGTTAAACCCTGATTTAAGTTTCATCTTTTTTATTTTACCTTTATTTTTATTCCAAATAAGATTTGAATCAGCTTCATTTCATTTTCTTATATTGATTATTTTTCGATGGAGACATGTCGATCCATGGATCTATGTCATCGATTCTGTTAGTCTCTTCTTTTTGAATAGGAAAAATGCTAGTTTTATTCATTGAGATTGAACTAGGTTTCCTTGGGTTGATGAATTTTATATGAAAGAGTCTTTTCTCAAGATAGTTTTCTGAGAGGGTATCCCATTTAAGGACATCTTATTAGCTTTGAAAATGGTTGTTTGGAAAACTGTGTATGGATATATAGAGAAAGAGAGATGTTAGAAACGGTGTAGCCCGGTCCACTATGCTTGGCCAGTTACTTTGCTTTGGAGTGTCACACCTCTTCACAAATAACCACTTCCGCCTTCCTCTGTTGCGAAGGGAAGCATCTCTTCACTCCCTCCTATTCGTGATAAAAGACTTTGGATGGCTCCTTTAGTTTCAAAGTCACGTTTTGAGTTCTTCTTTGGGCTTTCTCTTGATAGAGGAAGAGTTCTTCGGGCTTCCACGGGACAGTGGAAGAGAAGTGCAAGCGGTAGTTCCTTGCGGTACGGTAGTTCCTTGCGGTAGAGAGGTAGTTCCTTGCGGCAGAAGGAAGAAGAAAGAAAAAGAAGATTTTTCTCCCTAGGCTTCTTCTTGGTGGTCCTTATGAGAACCATTGTGGTATACTGATTAATTGATTATAATCAGAATTTACGTCTTCTTCGGTGTATCTTGGTGTTGAGAGAGAAGAACAGAGAAAGAGAAGAAAAGAGAGAGCAACGAAGAGTGAGAGATTCATCTTGAAAGTCGAGGTGATCTACTGGTGTAAACTCCTCAAATAGTAAAATCATCTACAACTCCGTGGACGTAGGCAATTTGCAAAATCATATAAATCTGTGTTCTAATGTACTGTTTTTTTCTGGTG